CTCTCCTTAACACTGCTGTGGGAAATCATAACATTCCTCCAATGAAAGGGATTCATTTAGATTTAGGACAGTTTAATGGAGCATAACTTGTTAGAGTTGAATGTCCCAGGGTTTTGAATCAAACCAACTCTTATACACTAGCCAATGCAATAAAAAATAAACAAGCAATTATCTTTAACATATTTAGCTTAAATCTACTTGAAAATGTAAAACACTAGAAAAAAAAAAGTCTATCCCTTGGGAAACCATCTGTTCCGCTATCAGTTTGCAAAATCTTTTCTTTCATTCCCAAAAGAATGTACCTGTGATATGCTAAATGAATTCAATCTGCAGAAATGCAGGTACCCAGACCGCAGATTAAATCGGCTTGGTCTCAGTATGACTTCATATCTCCTTGGAGCAAAAAGAATCCCACATCCTCATCAGGTGTGACGCATCCGATTTCAGTCTTTAAAGTCGTAGGGAAACGGCCGCTCCAAACGTTGCAGTTCGGAATTCTCCCGATTGATGCACGACTTTACACGAGTGAATAAAGTGAATTCGATCGGTCATTTTCTCAAGGGGGCGGGATTGTTGTGGCAGAAGGTTCGCAAGCAAGTTTGATTGTGGCTGGTTTGTCGGAAGCATCTTGCTAACCAGTTAGCAACTTAGTGCTAGTAGGTTCCCAATGGGAAATTCCATTGGGACCAAGTAGCACTAAATTGGTGACTTAGTAACGAAACTGTCAAGGAACGCTATGGACAGTGGAAACATGCAAAAGGAGGAGAGTTTTGTGTCGGAGGTCGTGGATGAGTCTCCTCCGGCATACATTTTTTATTTAGAGGAGGAAAGCAGAGACGAAGATGTTGTGGAAGAGGACGCCAGGGCGGCAGAAGCTTGGTTTGGGGTAGAAGGCTTACAACCGTACATGATTGAGCCCTTGCCTCGCAACACTGCCAGCTCCCTTAGCTCTACGCCTGCCGAAGACACAGACGTCCATCCCCGTGAACACTGGGACGTCACTCAATGGTAAAGTAATAAAGAATAAATTATTCTAATTTCTTATTTCAACCATTGCGTATATTAGCTGCGACATAGGAATCAAGATGCTATGACCGAAAAAATCTGAAAGATGACCGTTGAGATATGAGTGGCCGAATTTAGATGTTCAGGCTGACGTATAACTAACTGGCCTGCATAAGATAATGAAGAAAAAAAAAAAAAAAAAAGATTTTAAGACGGGACTTTTCCTTAAAATAGAAATGTTCTACAATTTGGGACAATATCCGATAAAGATTCGATTCATATACATGTTTAGGCCAGAAAGGTTTGCCATTTAAATATGACTGCCCTAACACTTTAATATAAAGGCTTCTTGAAAACATGTTTAAGACTAAAGATCGACCAATACAGCTTTTTTAAGCTGATATTAATTACTGCGACATAAATCTAACAAATTACTGATATGTGCTGCTGATTTCTGGGGGCCCTTTTTTGATTTTTTTCCCCCCTCTAATTCCATGATATAAATTTAACAATGATAACGGATGTTACACAAATCCCAATATCAACAAAAGGAAACATGTATTAGGAAATCAAACCAAATATTAACAAGGGATAGCGAACTGAACGGTCAGCAAGGCATAGGCTTCACATAATATCAAGGCCTTGCTGCTAAATGTAGTAATACATGGTCAAACACATGCATGTATAGGCCAATGCCTATTCAAGAAAAGAAGCCAATATTGGTCCAAAACAGTTAATCAATAGTATAGCGATAACCTTTCACTAAGCAGGGATCCACCATCCTATGCTGTCGACACATGAGGAGTGACCAAACTCTGCATCATCGCCACCACCTTGAAAACCCACAGACGTAACAGCGGCCATTTGTCTTTTAAGAAATAAGGGATTTTGACATTTTCAAAATTGTGGGAGGATGAAGAGCACTGTAAAAACGACAACTCAAAATTGTTCACCTTACCAAGATTTTTGCATTCACTGACAATAAAATTGCCAGTTGGAACTTGAACTGTCTGTTGTGAGCCAGTTGAACTCACTTTCATAAGTTTCTGATGAAACTTCATCTTATTCTATAAATAAAGTTGAGTTTACTTTGAAGTTGTAGTTGACACCCAGTCCGAGCGAGGTCAACTTAATTTAACTGGTTTACTGTCAATGGATGATTTAATGGGGGGGGGGGGGTTTAAACTCAAAAATGTAAGTTATTACAGGGGATGGTAATCTGAATTTAAAATAACTTTTTACAGATAATCTGAACTTAAAATAATAAGTTTTTACAGACTTCAAAGTAACTTGAATTAAAAAAAAAAAACTTAGTTGGCAGAACTTGAAAAACTTAGCTGACAGAACTTAATAAGTGTAGTTCTACAAAACTTAAAAAATTAAGTTGATGCCTTCAACTCAAAAATTCTGTGCAGTCAGTTGCCTTGAAATTTTGAGTTGAACTAACTTTTTTGTTTTTACAGTGAGTTAGATTCTACCTTAATGGCCTGAAATCAGATTTTTTTTTTTTTAGAAAATTTGGACACAGCTGAAGTGAAAGTTGTTCTAGACTACAGAACTGTCATGAACTTTCCTCTAACTTATAGTTGGTCCAAAAAAAACCTATTTGGTTTTAGTGCTGTCGAATTAAAACTCACAAGCCAACCCGTAAAACTCTGTATGAGTACAAGCTTGATATTTCCCATGCACAATTTAGGGCAGTTGCTTGGTTGCGTAAGGGCAAGTGATTATTGCCTCAATGCACAAGATCCACCGGAACTGAATTAAGAGCGAGCAACCTCTCCTACCTGTCGAGCCCTTTAGTAGTGCTAATCATTGTCTACCTTCTAACAGAGCAGTGTTTCCTAAGAAGACTAATTTCCCAACATTAGTATCCGGGTGGTACTTATTCTAATTAAGAGTTTTTTTTTTATTTTATCTTCAGACATGGATACCTTACATCCTGCCCCAGGAGGATAGAGCTCAAATGCTTTATGTTGGAGATCTCAAGGCTCTAAATGCTCTTGCGTGAAACCGGGCTTACACTGTAAGTTTTTTTGCCCTTTTTGGGCCAACCTTCCAGTCGTACAAGAAATTTTCGATCAGGCCGACCTTGAGCTTGATCATGTCTCATGAGTAGTGTAGTGTACAGGGGGTAACGAGGGGCGATCAGCCTCTCACGGCCATCGAACATGTTTGATTTTCAGTTGGCAAATCGCTCAGTGGGCATGCGCAAACAAGGACTCTTCTTCCTCTAAGATGTAAACACTGAAGCGTGGCAGGGGTGTGAGTGAAATGTAGTTCTTTATGTAAAATTGACAGACCGTAGTAGCCACATTTGTTCAGCCATGTCTTTGTCCAAATAAGTCGTCGCCTTTTTTTTTAGTGCTTTCAGCACAAAATTGCGCAGCTTTATATTCCTCTTCAACCAGTTTGACTTCCGGATAGACGAGTTTGAGTAGCGCCATCTCACTGCGGAGCTGAGTCCGACATGGATTTTAAACGTACAGTGTTAGCAGGTAGTTCACATCAGAGCGTCGGGTCGCACAGTATAAGAACATACATCGTGAGCTGTGAATTCCCACTGTAGGATAAAACCCTGCGGTTTCGTCATACAGTTTGAGCTGTAGCTGCGTGCGACAATGGAAAAAAAAAAAAGATTGCACAGCAGATAAAGACCACTCTGCTCAGGTAAGCCAGGAAGGAGGAGTATTACTATTTAAACCTACGCTCAATCTGGGTTCATTTTCCTGTTCTTCAATGATTTATCTGTTTTATGACATCAAGATTTGTTCTAAATGTATAGAGCTTTAAAAGTAATACATCAGTCTAATAAAAAAAAAAAAAATCAGAAGGATACAACCTCACTGACTGAATAATGAATATTGCTCAATCAGCACAAGTTTCCTTTGATCTGCTCTGACTGGCAGGTCAACATTATGAAAGAATTTCCAGTGAATTCAATCTAAAAAAACACCTAAAACCAGCACTTTCTGAATTGAACAGAAAACAAATTAAGGATTTAGATCTGTGTTGTAGTCTTTAAAACCAAAAACTAGAATTAGAACTAGTATTGGCCAGGGAAAGCTAGATCAGTGCATTCTCAACTAAAGTATTTAAGAATAAAACCTAAAATGCCGACCCATAAACCAAACTGTAACTACGTATTGAGAGAAAACAAAGAGATGGTAGCAGACAATACCTCATTCTTGTTTCCAGATCCTACAACAAACTTTTCTCAAGAGAATAAATCACAATAAGTGAGGTTCCCAGCCTCGTCCTTGTACAGGGACAAATGGTGAGTCAACTTCCTTGTACGACAAACTTGCTCAGAGATTACATTATGATATGACAATGCTTAAAGAAATGCGGATGACAAAGGAAGACAATGACACCAGTGTCTTAAATACAAGGCCACCCGTAAGAAAGCTGCTCATTTAAACAATTTATCTGTTTAAACCAGAGAGTTAACCTAAAGAATCACTGTAATCCACTCGTCTAATGATGATAGTGGCTGATTTTTCAATGAGTTTTGAATTTTTTTTTTCTTTTTAAAGAGAAGCCAGATGTTAGCTATGGTAATGGTGTCAGACTAAACAATGCAAACCTGTATTGCCTGATCGTACACGAGACCAACTGACAGGGTGTGTTGAGGTTTTAAAAAAACAAAAACTCTGTCACACTATACGCCAACTTCCCCCTGTGTCCCAGCACTTGGCTGCATGGGATCTAATAGATGCATGATGTCATCCGCTCTTCCTTCTTTTAAATACTGCCTCCAAACCAGGAAGCAGTGAGGAGAGCAAACCAGCACAACCTGGCTAAACAGGAACATCCACCTACTGAGAACTCGTAGCCGTCCCAGATGGAGCAGTCTGAATCCCTGACAGAGCACGAACAGCTGCTGGGGTCAGGATCCTCCTATCTACACTTCTCTGTCACATTGGTGAGCCGTTGCCATGGTGAGCTATTATGCTTGGGGTGGTGACGGCAGCGGATCCAGGAGGAGTACCTACCTTTTCACTACCAGACTGAGGGTCTTGTGGGAGCCTTTCACGAGGCAGATTGCCTCCTGTCTGTAGCCACTCAGGGGAACCTCGTTGATGTTGATGAGCTCGTCTCCCACCTGGAGACTCACAGCTGCTGCCTTGCTGCCTTCCTCGACCTGGAACAAAAACACAAATGAAAACAAACATAAATCCACAACATTTGCACAGCTTCATGCAGCAACTTTAAGTCCATCATTATCTGGAACTTATTTTTAGATTGTGTTTTGTAGTGATAAAAATATTGTGTACATATGGGGAGTGCACTCCTGATCACAATAAATAAAACATTTTGCACTAATTAACTTTTTTTTTTTAAGTTCAAACAAAAGCTTGGCTTTGCCAAAACAGAAATTGGCATAAAGTTTAGTAAAGTGACCAACTGATATTCATTTTTACAAACTTCCTTTTCAATCCACCTCCAAATGTTCTCAAAGATGTTTTTTAATCAGGGAAAAATGCAGGATGGTCCAGAAGTCTGACGCTATTCTCCAGGAAAAAGTCCATTATCAGGTTGGCATTGCGAACTGCAGTGTTCTCCCAATGAAAAGCCCAGTTATGAGCACACAGACCAGTCCTACTTGGGTCATGAGGGGGCCATATCTCCACACAGCCCCTGGACAACCTAAGGATCTACTGTTCCAGCAAAATGGAACTCAGGGTTATTCTCAGAGAATTTAACTTTTTTTTTTCTTTCCCCCCTTTCTTTTTCCAATGTTTGATTCTCTCTTGTTAAAACTAAACAGGCAAATTGTTGGGATTAAAAAGGAAGTGGTATTTGAAGTTGCTGTTAATCATTTAAGCGCCTTCCTTGCAGGTCCTGTTGGATTGTCGTGGAGCTGCTGTCTGCGACATTATTTGACTTAAGCCCCATTTCCACTACCCCTTTGAAACTGTGCTGAGATCGGTCCAGTTTGAGTTGAGAATCATCCCATGTCTCTATAGCCCCATTTACACTACCCTCTGAAAACCAATCTGTGCCGAGCTTGAAACGGTTCCGGGGAACGCAGTTTTTTTTACTTTGGGCCCTTGATTTTACGTCATTTCATCATGTTCTACTCACCCATATGAGTTCTGAAGATATTCCGTTAGGTTATATCCAAGTAACGTCTTCCTATGGGCAAACGAGTTGAAGGCACAAACTAAACTGTTCATAACATGTAGGCGAATTACTGTCCCCCAGTATTAACACACCATGCTAGCACGGTTCCTTGCCACCTAGTAATGATCTACGGTACTACTGCTCTCTAGAGGTAAACAAACAAGCAAATCAACATGGCGGCGCCCGTAACATTCAGGCAGTTTGAGGAGAGTCAGGCGAAGAAGGCAGCCTTTGGTGAATTTACTTGACAGAGTCGGATTTTGGGGTGTGGACACGACAAACTATAGTCTAATAAGGGCTTACGGACACAAGAAACAATTGAGGTTCATCACACTGGTGAGCAGAATCCTCACTCGAAATCGCTGGCACGGTAGGGGAGCTAGTATTTCTATGAATGTCTGAAATTTGCTGACTGTAAGGAGATGATGCGGTCTGCTCATGCACGCTTTGCTATCTCAGAACTGAGCCAGAACTGAAGTCAGCCGCGACCTACTGATGAACTAGTATCAAGTTAGCACAGTTCGGTTGTGTCTGGCGCTGTCCGGTTTAGTTGTGCGTGCAAATAAACTCTATAGTTATCTCGGTTACCGTCCTCGTACCGATCTCGGCACGGTTTTAAAAGGGTAGTGTAAATGGGTATATGGATGGCCAGTTGAGTCCTGCAGAAGCCCTGGTGACATTATTTGGAGACAATCTTTTCTAAGCTTTTTTAGAAAAGATGTTAAGCTTTTTTCTACGACTTTTCTAAGCTTTTTTTTACCATCAGGAGGTCTCAGTTGTGTGAATACCTGACTGAAAACAAAAGATAAAAGATTTTGGGTTTTACTGGCATCCATCTACCTTCTCCTGCTTCATCCGTCAGGGTCGTGGTGGGGCTGATGTCTATCCCCAGCATTCTATTGACGAAAGGCAGGGGACACCCTGGATAGGTTGCCAATCTATTGAAGTTCATTACAGACTGTTGTACAGGCTGTTTTTTTTTAGCTGATGCACATCCTATTTTAGTTAAACTATTGTTTTAAATAAATTTTCCACTTAAATTGTTTTGTGTCTTGCTTCCTTGTCTTTAGTATTGAGAATCTCTTATTAGAGCCTTCTTAAAATATAATAAAGCACATTTTTGCCACCTTATTTTCTTAATATTTTAATGAGAAGCTTTTTCAACCCAAGTTGAAAATTATTCTGCCAGTCATGTGTTTTTTTTAAGACTGAAAAGCAATGGAGTTTAGGGCTGTAATGAAAAAAAAAACTCTGACCATAAATTAAAACGGCATCATTCAGACAAACTATATTGTTGACCAAATTTAGCAACAGGCAGACTTCTAAAGACCATAATCAAAGGCAAAAAGACGCTTCAAAAAGCTCCAGGTCCAAACCAATGGCATACTGTAAAAACAAACAGTGTTGTGTCTGTTTGAAGGCAGACACCTGAAATAACACGAGGATGCACAGTGAGAAGAACGTGGTGCACTGAACTCATAACGTCTGCTGCTGGAATATCTCTGAGGACACGCTGACATAAAGACTGAGCCGAGATAGAAAATGTGCTACTGAGAAAAAACACAACCACAGCTTGGTGTTTTTAAAGCATCAGAAGTACAGATAGTTAAGGTCAGCGCTGTCCTCATACTGACGTAGACAGTTGGATCTGAGACATGCCAAAGAAAAGAAAAGCAAAGAAAAAGAGAAGCTGTGAGGCGTTGCTTGGCAGCTGGCACGTTAGCACGCAAACAGCCCAGAGCTTCAGCTGATTATCAGTTGTATGACTAAACCAGAGAAATATGTGTAGATTTACCCTCTCTCATATCCTATTAGGCCTTTAGCCTCATAGCAAAGGAATCACAGCAGCAGAAATCAAACCATGGCTTTTTTCATTTTTCTATAATGGAGCTGTAAGTCGGGTGGACCGAAGGTTTTAACGCTGACTGGCGAGATTCCTGAGCGAGTCCAGATATGGTAGTGGATTTTGCGGGGATACAGCCTGATACATTCACTGAAAACTGATATGAACTCCTGGGATTACTCAAGATGGAAAACTATTCTTGTTCAACAAAGTGGTTATATTTCAGCTTGGCAGATTCATTATAAAACAAGGAGGTAGGAAATGAAAGTTAAAGAATAAACTGGTTTAATCATTTTTCTTTCCACTGGATGTTCACACTGCCTGGGCCGATCTGAACCACGCATTCAAAACAAACACTTCTGTTTACCTTTTGGAAAAGTTGAGTCTCTAAAAACTATTACAGATTAGTTACTAAGATAAGGAAAAATAACCATCCCAAATGCATCCACCCACTATCTAATATTTAACTGTTACTACATTTCAGTGGACACAGTGTATTTCAGGAGAAACAAGGTTGCTTCTCCATCATTACATATTTACTCATCACCAGCGATCCACGTCTGGTGAAAAAGTACATCCCGGTTAATGTTTGTTTTCTGGCCTTTCCCAGTTTTATAAATCCACATTACCTTTTCCATGAGGTTGATTCATTCACTAACTGGGAGCCTTTTGTTTTCTGGAAGGAGTCTGTTTGCAAAACCACCACTCATCTGAGCCTTGTACTTGTTTTACTGAAGGTTACTCTCCAGGAATGGTACAACTTTGAAATAGCTCAGCGTTCCCATCGATCTGGTATGTTAAACTCTAGGGAAGGGGTTCCCAAAGTGATGGGTGGGACACCCAGGGGTCACGACACATCATTGGGGTGTCCCGAGATTGTTTTCACATTTATCATGATGTGATCCCTAAGATATATGTGGAGAGCCAAAATGTCTGGAAAAAAATAAATACATGTACATTGAAATAAGAGGAATTAATATTTGTGCATTTATACATTAAATATACAATAAAATTACAAAATGCACCATGAAAAAATTTAATTTCCTACTAAATAATCAAAATTATATTTAAAATGATGAATTACATAAATAAATGTCATTAAAATAGATAATTTAACAAAAATACAGAGTGAAAGAATTATGTATCTTTAAGGGATCACCAGTATTACTGTAATTCTTGGGGTCACAGGCTGAAATGTTTAATATCCCTGTTTTAAGATATGTGATGTTTTTTTTTTCCCATTTTTTCAAAGCACTAAAACTAAAAACTATGAATTTTGCTCTATAAATCAACAAACACTCTCCTTTGGGGTATTTTTCTGGAGTTTCTTAAAATTCAAGTTACTATATGATCTGAGGCATTCATGTAATCCCTTTGTTTTCTATTGGGTTCAAAACTGCCTCTTCTACCTAAGAAGCTGCAGCACATCCTTCTGCATTGCAGCCTAGATAAAAAAAAATATATATATATACTGGAACTAGTAAATATCCTAATCCTGCTGATGCAGATTTTTATATTGAATGAAAATCATTTAGATCTTTGAAACACTGATAAAGAAATTGTCCAGCACCATTACAATATTACAGTACTAATGGTCTTCTAGAAACTGTTAGTAATTTTTTAAACAATTTCTTTTAACCTGATCAATTGCTAAACTTCATGATACTATAAACAATAGCATGAGATTTACCAAAGAAAATACGTAAGGCTCAAGTTCATTTGATGTAAAGACAAGACAGTTGCTGCTTTTCTAAACAGTTTTCACTAGAGTCTCCTGATAGGCAAAAGCTTTAGGCATTTCCTTTGTTATCCTTCGTTCTCCAGGCTGTAATCAGTCCAAAAGCAGCCATCCCGGTTTCCTGGGTATTCTAAAGAAAGTTGCCTTGTGTTCCTCAGTGTGTCATGAAGGGAAGGATGTGGTAGCAAAGAGGGTAAGGAATGTGTCTTTTCTGCTGACAGATTAGCTGCAGGCATACAGTTCCTCAAACCATCTGACTATATTGTTTGGAGCCTGAAAAAAAGGCTGTAAGTTAAACAAAAACAACCTTTAAAACGTCATGTTTGTCTTGGTTCAAAAACATTTGCAAAAATAACACTGCAAGGCTGATGCATGCTCTTGTTACGCTTACTTGAACATACTAAGCAATAACTATGGGGACTCTTTGGAGTTTCTT